TTTCAACAAAATAATCGAAAAATGGCAGTTTTTATAGTGTTTTAATGAAAAATTGCTTTTTTTAACGTATGAGAAAAAAGAAATTTTTTGAAAACATTTGACTAAAGCTCTTAGGAAAATAGTCAGAAAATTCTTTTCATATCTGGTTCGATGTATCTTCATCTGCTCTTTTCAATGGTGAAAACCACAGCTCTCTAGGTCAATCCATTCAAAAATTACTCAGAAAATACTCGTCCACCTTCTTTTTTGAAATGGACATTAGTACCATTACATGTTTTGGATAAAATTCGATCTCAGCCCGCGAACATTCGAATCGTATGAAACTTTTAGTATATGTTGGGGCTAGTGAATCATGTCTATGGTAAAATTTTTGACAGAGATATTCACCAAACAGTGATCAAAAATAGCTCTTTGGTATCTCTAAGCCTTTATTTTATACATTAAAATTTTTTTTATTTGAAATCTTGTTTCTAGGGCTAGCGCTAGACACAGACTTTCAAAGAAACAAAAAATATTTGACTTTATATCTTACTGTGACAGAGTTCTGCTGGACATACGTTTTTGAATCAACACTCTGAGAAAAACGAAAAATGATTTAGGAAGTGACAAGAATCCCCAAAATTCTTTGTCATATATGAAAGAGCAGATGACAGACTATTATCTCAATTTCTATCATTTTTTTTTTGAGGAGAAGGCTTAAAGTGAAAAATATTTGATCAAACACTCAAATAATCAGCTCGGCATTACAAATATTATCAGATAATAGAAAGAAAAAGTCATCAAACGTCAAACTAAAAAAGAATCATCCTAACATTTTGTCTCAGTCAAAGTCAAAACAACCAGTTATGAATCACATAAAAAAGAACTGAATAAATGAGAACATTATTGATGAATACCCAGGAAACCATAGACACAGTAAAACTGTGTTGTTCTTTTTTTTCGTTAGGCCAATATGAATAATGAAAAGGTAAAGAAGCACGACAAACGAGGAGTGGTAAATCATTACTGCATTAGTTTTGTTTAGGCTCATACAAAGGTGACAGTACTTATCATGGCTGGCGTAGCAGAACGATTTGATGGTCATATTTTAAATAAATCAAAAGAATTAGTTGATCTTAATGATAAAAAATATAAAGGCAAAATAATTGGTCTTTATTTTAGTGCTCATTGGTAAAAATTTGTATATTTTATTTTTTTAAATTTTATTCAAATCGGTTTTTTAGGTGTCCACCATGTCGTAATTTTACACCGATATTAAGTAAATTTTATAAAAAATATGTTGAAACAAAAAATTTTGAAATAATATTTATTAGTTCTGATCGTGATGAAAATTCATTTAATGATTATTAAAAAGATATGCCTTGGTTAGCATTAGATTATAAAGAACGTACAAAAAAAAGCAAATTATCAGACAAATATAATGTTCGTGAAATTCTAACATTAATTCTACTTGATGGAGATTCAAGAGATGTTGTTTGTACTAATGCAAAAAAAAAAATTCAATTTGACGATACTGAAGGAAAAGATTTTCCATGGAAATCATCATAAATAAATTCGGTTTTATTTTTCTTAAATCGTATCTTATTTTATGCTAAGCTTGCTCATTTAGATCAATTTTAATCTCGGATGAATCGAATGATTTTTTTTTATTAAAACAAACGCTTTAGACATACTTGAAGGCATTGTGAGCGTAAGATTGCACTAATATGTAAAAAAAAAGTTAATCAGACATGTAAATAGGGAAAAAAGTGTTCCTGGAAATTTGCCGCATTTATTGATCAAAATGTGTTATTTTATATATAATAGTTTCTTTTGAGAATCATTGAAACCAGCACATCAGATAAACAGACGTACTAGACGCTTGTCTTTTCGATAGTTGTAGAAAAGCCAATAGCTTTTATCATAGAAAGATGCATTGAGGTTTATTCTTTCAGAATAAATATGATTTTTGTTAATTAATTTTTTTCAAAATACGTCTTTCAATTGAAAAGATTCAAAGTTTTTTTTTTCTTTAATTTAACTTTTTCAATAAAAATAACTGATTTAATCTCTATGTTCAGAAAAACAAGATTTAATGCCTTGGAGTCACATATTTTTTTTTTTTATAATACAATACGAACGGAAACCAATTGCACGACAAATAGGATATTAGAACACGATCTCTGTTAGTAATATAAATTCTCGAATGATCTATGAATAAGTTGAAAGTACAAAATATAGCATGTAGAAAAACTATGTGATACTATTTTTTCTAGATTTGGATATACGAAAGCTGATGAATCATATAGTTGCCACTGTCAATAATAATATTAACTTGATAATGTAGGATAAAAAAAGCAATTAGTCAAACCTATACCAACAAAAAAATTCTCAAAGCGTTGTTCTATGCAAGCAAAAGAAATACGTAAGATTTACGAACCTATCAATTAGTAATCCTTACTTTACCCACAATACATTTGTTGTTTTGCTCGAATGATTAATAGATAAATAAATTAGAATGAGTAATCGGAATGTTATTGAGATATTTCTCTTCCGTTTAATAAATATTAATCATAGCTGATGATACTATAATTTATTGCTTATATTTTATAAATAACTGATCGAATAAAGTTAGTTTTATCTATTTTTCGACCGTATGTTAGCCAATTTGCAAGAACCACTAATTAGTACACTTGGTAAGAAAACAATCGAACTAGTTTCAATTAATTTTTCATATTATTTTTTAGAAAAACAACAATTCCACGAACCTTATTGTCTAATTAAATGGTTAGATACAAGAAAAATTGAAATTATTGCACAAAAATATATTTTTCTACCATCATTAAAAGATCTTGAAGATAATGTTTCTTATTTGATTGATATTGATGGTGAAAAACGTCTTGGAACAATTCTTGTTCATGGTAAAATATATCGAGATAATCTAAAAAAAAGAATATTGAAGTATATAGAGAGGTAATCTTCCTCTCAACAAACTCGTTTTCTCACTTATATATCAACGTTCCAAAATAAATTGAATAAAACCATCGTATTTCACTGATATGGTCATTTTTCTGCAATTACAAAGAGGCTCATTTTACAAAAAAAAATTCAAAATAGATATTCATTTATATGTAAATGTTGGCAGAGATTACATATGTAGTGAGTTAATAAGCATTAACTTAACATAGAAAAAAAAATGAACATATGAAATAAATCTTTATCGATAATATACGAATCATATATTATTTGATTAAGAGGGACATCAACCGCTTTTAAGTTGAGACTATGTGCATGATGTTGGTAAACATAAGTTATAAATATCGGACGCTAGCGCATTTTTTTAGGGAAATACTGGCCTTTGAATGCCGTGGTTCACCTCAGGAACATCGGAAAAAATGATTTTCGAATTTCGATCTGAAATTTTATACAAAAATAGATCTTAGTAGTTTGTGAAAGTTCTAGACCTTGTTGATGCTCATATCTCTAGTTTCAATTATGGTAACTTGTTTTAGGATAGGAGTAAACCTTCACAAAATACTAAGATCTGTTTTTTGTATAGAATTTCAGATGGAAATTCAAAAATCATTTATTCTGATGTTCCGAAGGGAGATCACGGCATTCAAAGTCCAATATTTCCTTAAAAATGCACTAACAGCCGATATTTATAACTTATGTATACCAACATAATGCACATAGTCTCAACTCAAAAACGATTGATTAGTTGGTACCCCTTCTTCGTCAATGGATATCGATCAGTTCCATGTCAGCAAAAGATCCGATATTGAAACTGAGCTTTCAAAAAGCAGTAAAACTTTTTTTGTCCAAACTCAATTGTTGAATATTGAAAGATATGTAATACTAAGATTCAATAGTTTATATCGAAAATTTTCTAAATTTTTCAAGAACTCGAGCGAAAAGCAATAGTCGAAATGCGGAGATTGTTTATTCTGAGTTTATATTGATCATTTGAATTCAATTAAAAATTAAAAAACTCAATTTTTAAAAAATATATTCTTTTATTTTTATATTAGGTACAAAAGAACATTGTGAATTTATTCTACAAGAATTTACACCACATGAACTAAAACGTCAAGATGAAGGTAATTTAAAAAAAAAGAATTATTATTATTTCATATTTGCTGAGAAATTTATCTATAGAAAATACTTCTAAGACTCTCGATGATATATCGTTGATGAGTGTTCTTGCAAAAATATTAACTAAAGTTGAATCCATTGATATTAATGATGATGGTGATGTTCATAATGTTAAATGTGCTGTATGTGAAATGGAACCTATTCGTCAATCTGATAGATATCGTTGTTTAGAATGTACATCACCAACTTATGATATATGTGGACGTTGTTTTGAAAAACGTCATCATACAGGAAAACATTTGATTGGTCATGTTATGGTTCATTTTAAATTACCAAATGAAATTTTAGGAATACAATTTAATGATATTAATAATGAAGTTAATCTAAATAATTTAAAAAATTTAGATAAATTACGATATGAAGAACATGATGGTATAAAATGTGATGGTATATGTCATCAACAAACATTAATTGGTTTACGTTTTAAATGTGATACATGTCCAAATTATAATTTATGTGAAATATGTGCTATTGATAAACATATTTGTACGAAAAATCATAAAAAAGATCATCCATTAATTTTAACTTCAAATAAAGTTATACCAAAAATTGATTCAGATGATATTCTATTAGAAGAATCTTTAGGTAGAGGAGGATTTGGTAAGTTTTTAAAATTGACAAATTAGAAATATATATATATATGTGTTAATAATAGGTCATGTCTATAAAGCACTTTGGCGTTCAAAAAATCTTCCGGTTGCTTGTAAAATAATTGAAACATCTAATAAATCATCTGAATCAGATCATTTACGTCGAAGTTTTCTTCAAGAAATTGCTGCCTATCGTGAATTATCAGGTTCATATATTCTTCGAACATTTGCCTATGCTATACGTGATATACCAGCACAACGTAATCATGGACAAAAAACTCAATTTATGATATTAATGGAATTAATGAGACGTGGAAGTTTACGAGATGTTCTTGATAATAAACCACATCAATTATCATTAAGACGTAAATTAACAATGTCACGACAAATAGCATCAGCTATGAGACGTATTCATCAACATGGAATGATACATCGTGATATTCGACCTGATAATATTCTTGTTACAGATAATTATATTGCTAAAATTGGTGATATGGGTATTGCTCGTGTACTTGATCCAAATTGTCAACATACACAGGTTGGTTTTAAAAAATTTATGCCACCAGAATTTTTTCGTAGTGATGGATTAAATGGTTTTGCTAAATTTGATGAAAAATTAGATATATATACGTATGGTCTTACATTAAATCAATTATTTACAGAAAAAATTCATAATTTTCGATCATGGACACCACTACCACGTATAACTATAATTGAAAAAAGTCCAATATTATATGATGAAATTATTTTAAGATGTATAGATGAAGATTCAAAAAAACGACCAACTGCAATTGAAATAGAAAAAATTTTTAAATTCTATGAAGAAGCTTTTTCAAAAACAATGAATTTAAATATTTATAAAAAAATGGATTTAAAACAAAAAAATAAAGTATTTATTGAATTTTATGAAAATAATCGAGAAAAAATGCAACGTCTTATTAAT